CACACATTAAAGCTAATATAAGAGGACAAATGTTTTACAACTGAAAACAATGTATCATATAACTGAAACATAGAAAGAACAAAAATGGAGAATCATCGCTCATTCGATGAGCAAAACACTCACTACTTCTTGAAAAAATGAGAAAAAGGAAGAAGTATAGAGCATAGAGTACTTACATTTGCTCATTCTTACTCTTATTCATATATTTTTTCATTCTCTTCAGAAAAAATTGCATTCCCTTTATTCAATCAAACTCTCTTTTTTCTCTTTTTTTCTTTTTTTCCCTTCAAAGTTTTCTCATATTTTTTTATATAAAAAAAAAAAAAAAAACCATATAATGTAAATACCATTTTAAAAAATAATTCAAACATTTTTTTATGAAACATTGTGCAATAAATTAGTTAACAAACATGTTTTAATTTCAGAATAAATCATACCACCAAAAAAAAGTTACTGTTTTTGCTTCATATGAAATAGAAGATGCAAAATAGAACTTGTTGCCAAAAGGACCCTTAACATCCGTTTTCAAATTTTTTCACAACAATTGTTTTTTGAATTATTAAATACTATTTAAATTTTGATTATTGTATTGTCACTACACTTCTATTTTTCAGCTTGTTGTCTTGCTGCATCTTTGGCTGGAAAAAATACGATGCCCCTGGCTCCATCACTGATCAACCACCTTCCCTGAATTAAACCCATTGTGTTTTGAGGGTGAAGTATTTTCCAAACGATCACCAAATTCCATAAACAACATGCTATTGGATAAATAATAATAAAAATCCTCAAAACCCACATAAAGGCGTTAAATAATTCAAATTTGAAGACAAGTTCCAGGAAAAAAATCAGAAATGCACTCAATATCTAACTGAAAACAAGGATATGCTCTATAGAAAACAAACCACCAATATGAAGAACCTATCAAAGTTCAACCGATCAAAATAAAAAAGGACATTAGGGCTTACGTCAAGCAAAAGGAAGGAGTTCGTAGACCGAAGGAGGAGGTTGAAGAAGCTACGCCCAGCATACATGAGCAACACTTCCAAGCTCTCTGTCTGCGGATGCCATTGTTTCTGTGTCTAGAATCTAGTTGCTCCCAAAAAACCCTCGATTCCAACTCAAATTCACACCATCCTTAACCTAGAAAGAAAGAAACCAAAGGAAAAACTCACAAACACGGCCCCCAAACCGAACGATCGTGCGAGAGAGAAACCCTGAAGCGTTTTGAGAGGGAAATCAGATATGTGAAAATCGTATAAAATATTACTAAAAATATAAATAAATAAATAATACATTTTGTGTGTATATATATATATATATTTTTTTAAAAAAAAAAAAAAATTATATTCCCAGCATTATCCAAATGGTAAATTAGTAATGTAGGGCAAAAATAATAATAACAAAAAATAAAAAATAAAGGCTATATAGAATAATAATACTTGCACCATAGGCCTACTATATATTATATATTATTAGTCATAAATTCGTTAGATATGGAAGTGGAGGATTCTAATTTTTATATTTGACGTGCATTGATGTAATAATTCTGTCTAAATAATTAACACAAATATCATTACTCTTATGAATATTATCCGGACTCAGAAGGTCACATAGAGATTATATAGTGATTAGCGGATTACACCTCTATATAAAATTCCCTTCATAAATCATAAAAAATAAATATAAATATGTGAAAATAGTATAAAATGTTACTAAAAGTAAATATAAAAAAATATATGATATATAGTCCTATGTGATTTTTTCCAAAAAAAATATAAAAAATAAATTTAATAATAGACTATTACCAAAACAAACTAAGGGCCTTTGTGTTTCAGTAATATTTCTTGTACGTAATTAACATGCAAGTAAAAAAAAAAAAAAAAAGAATAAAATTAATTAGCCAAGATCAAATGATCTCGCCCCATATAATATTTTCTGAATCAATGACACTCTCATATTATATAATAGAATAGGATTATAGGAGCTCATTCCTTCTTGTTTAATCCTCATGAATCTAGACAATGGACAAAAATTCAACCACAAGTTTTTGTTTAGGATTTGTACTGTGTAGTTTATTTAATTATTCATTTGTTCCTGGAGTACCAGCTATTGCTCTCCATGTAATTATTACAGATGCATCACTAGTAAATTTGAAGGTATTTGTTGTTGTGTTCTCAAGTTTCTCTTATATCGGATTTGAATGAAAAAATAATTAAATATAAATAGGTAAATATATAGTATCACTCAACAATTTAAATTTTTGAATAAATAGACAAGAAAAATTATTAGATGATCGTAAACCATTCATACTTGGTAAACTAATTAAATATATATTCCTGTCCATTTCAATAAGTCACTGGGATTGGGAGAACTTTGAAAGACAAAAAAATAAAATAATAATAAAAAAAATCAGAGTCTAATTGAAGAAGGAACATTTAGGTCTTTTTTAAAAAATTAAATTTGAGCGTGGTGAAAAAATGTTATTTACTACCCGTGCAAACAAAGAAATTTAAGGGGAAAATAAAATAAAATCTAATTGGAAAAAAAGAAAAAATTAGATTTTTTAAAAGGAAATTAAAGGAATCTAAAGACTAAAAGAGAAAGAAAAAAAAAAATTACAAAGTTCAGAGATAATTTTAGAAATTTAAAAATTTAGGGGGAAATTATATAGAATTTTTTTTTTCTAGATATTGAAGAAAAAAAAAAAATTACCATATATGTATAGATGGTGGGCCAAGTTAGTTGGGCTTGTGTCCACTCTAGGCCTTAACTGGCTCCGCCTCTGGACACAAATTTGGGAGACAATTGACTTCCTTTCTTAATACAATAGTAAAGTTTGCTCCATTGTGAAACAATTTTTTTCTTATACGAAGGTGACACTATAGACACATACTATCTCTAAATATGACCATAACAAAAATCTCATGCACTAAACTAAACTTTATGTAATTCTTAAAATTTCTTTTGTAACGTGGCTTATGGCTATTAAAGTCTGCCAATTCACTAAGCACATGTTATCCATTAACTCACCTGTGATGCACTATGTAAAGTAAGTTGAGGTTTTTGGTGGAGGTATGCAAGCCCTATATATATGTAATTTAGAAAGGGCGTAAAAGTATGGTTTGATCCAATTTGCAAAATACTAGCTAACTCACTGCATATTTAGGCTGCGCTTGTTTCGACATGAAATATTTTTTTCGAAAAAGATTTTCTCTTTTTAGGTAAAATATTATTTTTATTTTTACTTATTCGGTGTTTGATTCTTGGTCAAGGTTAAAGAACTAAGGTCGAGTCCATCGGACCCAACATGTAAAATAATTTGTTAAAAATTGATGAGTAAATTATTTTTGTTATGTTTTAATATTTTTTTCCTTCGTAAATATTTTACAACAACCAAACACCAAAAAAATAAAAAATAAAAATATTTTCTAAATTTTTTTTTACATCCAACCAAAGCCATAATAATAATAATAATATTTTAATGAAAAATTATTATCTATAGCCAGCAATAATAATAATAATAATAATAATAATAATAATAAATTGCAAAAATCATTTGTGCCGGTCGATATCACATTCAAGTTTATCTCAAGTATTTGTTTGTTCAAAATCCCTCACTATCCCAAACACCATAACCAAAACACTTTCTTCACATTTATTCCAACCAGTGGGTCCTTTCTTACATTTTCATGGCAACTAAAATATTTAAATATTTTGATTCTACTTAAAAATAAGAATAACAATTAAAAAATAATGTTGAATGTTTCATTTTCCTTCTAGAAAGAAAGCAACTCATCTCATATGATGACTCCCTATCACCTAAATTTCACAACTATGATATTGTAAGGCAAATAATTTGTGTTTGAATAAAAGTTGTCACACATCTATCATGAATCTCATGAATTTTCTTTTTAACATGGTTGCTTTCTATAAATTAAGCTAAATAATAAATTTAATTCTATTATAAAGAATACAATTAATTATTTATTTATTTTTTTCAACATCAATATATAGAACTCATGGAATTTTTTTTTGTCCTATATTAGATAAATATGGAATTTTTTTTTTCCTAGATAAATTAAAATATTGGAGGAAATTAAATAAATTGATTTTACGAGTTTACATGCTTAGAGTAAATCGAGATGTATAAAATATGGCAAAGAGTAGATAAAGCTACAAAAAAGCACTCTCTATACACTTCACACCACCTATCTCTTTGAACTCTCACTATTGGTTTTTCATTCATTTGGGTAGTTAGGAGCGGAGGATTCTCTCCTTGGAATGCTAAAAGAAAGAAATAAAGTGGGTGTGTTAATGGTGTTTTTTTTTTCAATAAACAAATAAATAAAACTATTACCAAAACACTCTTTTATACATACTCGGTCAAGTGGTCTGGTTGAGAATTGGAGCATACCACATTATTTGCATGCGTACTCAATCAGAAAACACCATTCAAATAAATTTTTTTTTTTAAATTTATTTAAATAAAACATATTTCATTGAATAGTATATTTTAATTGAATGTGCATATAGGACACTTCCTTCACTTGGCTCAATTGGACTATCATTCTGATTAATTGACACTTGGAAGCAGATAGTACAACTGCATTGACATTTTATCAAAATTTACACACATACATACACAGACATCGCGATAAAATGCAATAATTGTAGAATGAAGATTAGAGGGAGAAAGAGGGTCCTGGCTTCTCTACCTTCTCCCGTCAAAACCCACAATCACCTCGATGCCAGCAACTACCACCCATCCAACCGTATCTAACAAATTTATTGGAGAAGTCATTTGACAATTTAAATATAAATAAATAATTTAAAGACTATTTTATGTATTCCATGTTTATAAATTAATTTTCACATTACAGGGGGCTGAGAAAATTATCTCAATACCAAAGATTATGAATTAATGAAGTTCTTCAAATTAACTCAGCAAATTCATATGACCAGCATACCTTTGACACAAATTGAAAACCTACAACAATTAATAGCCAAACACAAAATACTAAAAGAAAAATTACATAAATAAAAATTGTATTTAAAATAAAAACACTGATCCCGATTTTTCAGGATGTTGCTCTGTTCAACTTCAAAGTGCTCTTTAATTTATCACATTTGATACTCGATAAGATGACCTAATTTTAATCGTTTTATTAGGTCCATTCCCGCTCTTCAGCCCATAGACAAGAATTTCCAGTAACATCCGCTTCGTTGGTTGTCCACCAAAACTTTTTGGTCTTAACTTCTCCTCTTTTCCCCAAATCTGTTCAATATAAGACACACAACAATATGAGCATATCAAATATATATATATATATATATATATATATATACATATTAACATGACTTGTCAGGATAAAAACATCCAAATTCAATTCATTGATTTGCTCACACCCATTCAACCTACTATTTTGTCCAATGAGAGCTTTGATGAGGTCTCAGCAATATAAGTATTACTACAAAACAGATTCATATGAATTTATGCAGACTAGAATGAGGTCTTAGGCTCTCAGCAAATACAAGTATTACTACAAAACAGTTTCATAGGAATATATGCAGTCTAGAATGATTGTTATAATAAGAAAAAAGGTAATATAACAAAGAAATTTTGAAAGAGACACAAAATTTGTTCAACAGATACTATCTAAAAGCCTAAACTAAGGACCCTGTAAGATCATCGAACCTCCAACTCCTAAAGCTCACCGAAGGATCTTTGGGCCAGCATTTTCAGCCTTGCAATTTAGCGACCTTAAGATATATACAATAGCCTTAAGTTCATGCAAGCAATTAATAAAGAATTCAAAGCTAGGCGTGAAACGAAAAGAAAGGCACAGGTCCTTTGCACCATGCTGACATAAGAATTCAAAGCTTGGTATGGTGACTATGGCATATAGGATAGATAAATACTGGACCTAAATGTCTCCTCTTCATTCAAATCATACATAGAAGCGGCCAAAAAGATAGACCTTATATCCTATTATGAAGATTTCCGGGGATCGAAGCTTACATTTTTATGTAATTTACTCCCACAAAAGCTGCATCTACAGTATGCTAGAACCAATTTATTGATTTATATATTTTTTCTACACAACTTACCTTTTCTTATAAATCTATAATCACAAACTTAGACATCTCTAACATGTAGATTAAAATGCTAACACCAACACATAAAAGAAAGGAAAATTCCCATACACAAAAATACACTGAAATTAAAGCACCTGCGGTACTGCAACAGTGGCTCTATATAAGGGAACAATCAAATATGGTTCCTAGTCGGGAATAGATGCAATTGCATCTTGTTTGACGGGAGAAAGTTTCAGCATCCAGACTGGAAAAAAGGAACAAATTTGCAAATTGCCCTCGATGTGACGGTAATTGAAAAGTCGTAACTTATTTTCTGGTAGTTTGGGCCATTATACTCAATAAAGCGCGTCATAAATGGGAATTGAATGCATATTTATCTACATGAATTAAGGGAACACCACATGAATTCATAAAATGAGAATTGACTACAATGTGAAAATCAATAATAACATTCATGGAAGCAACAAGAAAGCACAAAGAAAAGCAAGAAGTGAACACAAATAATACCAACCCAGCTTTACAACATAGTTGTATATACACAAGAAGGTGCTTCTGGTCAGATCAATTGGATAAAATGAATTGAGCAATGATGCAATAGATATCCTTCTCAAGAAGATATTTTGTAACAAAATAGCAAAAGGTTTAATTTCTTCCGCATGACATTCTATTAAAAACTAGTTACTACGCAGACATTTTCGGTGCAGAATGATATTAAATCAATGAACATTGATAATACAAGATAAAGCAACATGGAAACACTAGCACTCACCTCATATACATTGCAAAATTGAACTCAAGATCGGCAAAAATTAGTGCTAGAAAGATAATAAATTATTCCTTCAAATTGTTCAACTTCTTCACCCTGACCATACTTGAAGACTTAACACTTATCTTGCGCTTCCGGGTTTCTGATTCTACACACTCCTTCAGTTTTTTCAAAGCTGACACATTGAAAACAACAAGGCTTATCATTGGCACAACATCTTTAATTAACACTTATGGAAACGTAAGGTACAAATGACGCAAGTATAAGGATCTCCCGCAAGAATTGCACAGGAAAAGAAGATCTTCATTCAACAATATAACTCCAAAAACATTTAAATGTTTTCAAACATTTAAAAGTCAATGCACTAAGTTGGTATTTCCAAACAGCTTTGCTCGATTTGGCTGTTATCAGATTTTCCATAACAAGTTAGTCACGCCATCAGTTCAAAATTTTGAGAGGAGAAGCCCAAATCAATTATCTGGATTGTCCATCCATTCATATGGAAAGTGAGAAATTCAAGACAAATAGGTTGAATGATCTATAGACAGTCCATAATATTTAAGGTAATTCTAATTCTGTTGTGAAGTGATTAATGATCAGGTCTCTCATCTCCAAGGGCTATGCACATCTCTTGAGGGAGACTCCTGAATTATTCTTCAATCTTCAAGTGGTTAAACTACCTTGCAGTCCTTCAGAACAAATTTTCACCTTTCTTTCAGTTCTTTTAGGGGGCCTCTGGTTTTGAAATATAATTGTTATAAATTAATTTTTTTATTCTTGTTGTGGCATTTGAGTTTTTCTTTTTATCATTTTAGCTTATATAATTTATTATCCTTCTTTTCATTGTTTTTCTTTCTGTTCTTAATAATATTCTCTTGTTTCTATTTATCAAAACTAAATTTTTGAAGATCCATTTCAGTTGTCAGATCTAAAAGCATTTCCAAGTAAAAACGATTGAAGCCATGAATAATTTTACTCCCTCTAGTCAACAAAAAAAATAAAGAAAATACCAGAGGTATATACAGGACGAAGTGGTTCTATTGAATCTGAAGGAACAGAGTGAACAGGACAAGAGTTATTGTCAGCTTTCCGTAACAGCTTCTCGAATCTCTTAACCTGAAACAAGTGAAATAATGGATAAATTGCCCATTTTATCTTGAAGTTAAATATAAAGAGGATAACTCATAACATTGAGACGAAACTTAAACTGCTTCTATTTCTACTCTTACTAAAAAGTTTCATTTCATCAAAGTGTTGATACTAAGTAGCATAATTGCATCATTTGTTTGTTATCTACTTTAAGGGCTGATGTGCATGCAAATATGACCTACTAATTGATCTAGACGTCAATACGAATGAAGGCCTGTGAAGCAATCAAGGGAGCTAAAATGTTTAATCTATAGTATTTATGATATAAAAAAGTTTTAAAGATGGGAATTGAAGTGATAAAATGTTAATATACAATCTGGCAACAAACCTCATCTTTACGCAACAGAGTAAAGCAACGACCAGTCTGCCCCGCTCTTGCAGTCCTACCAGCCCGATGAACAAATGTCTTAATATATGCAGGCATATCATAGTTAATAACATTTCTCACCCCTTCAACATCCATTCCTCGAGTCATTGCATCAGAGGAGACAAGTACTTGTATTTCTCCAGATCGGAATGCCTTCAGTATCTTGCTGCAGGGAAAAAAAATTCAGCATCATAGAAGTCCAATCCGATCAAAGTAATTTATAATCAACCTAAAAAAAATTCTGCTGGCAAATTAAAATTGTCAATTGGAAATAAAGCAACAGATGGAAATTTATAAAAAAAACAGGAAACCAGTATTTCAAAATCATTTTTACCCATACAGGCAGGACCAACATTTTTGATGGCCTTTTCAAATTTTACCTCCAGTTTGTCATGATACCAAAAATGAAGCATTCCCATTACAGCATAATCAAAATGCTTTATGATACATGTAATTCTTGTGTTCTTTCTCCCTTGCTTAGCCGGTTTCTCTTAACAAACAGAAACAAAAGTTGACTCCCATGGAGACAATATAGATCAGTTACTTCCCCAGTCCCAATGACATCTTCTATTACAAGGATGGAAGTAATTCAAAGTCAATGGGGTCACATCCAAAGCCCACTTGAAGACCTTTCATCTTCCATTAGTAAACAAATGAATCGAAGATGTGATATTCACTCCACAAAAGCACTCTTGAACTCCACTTGATGTTCTTAAAATAAAAAAATAAACAAAAAAAGGGAAATGGCACAATCACCACTCAAAAGTGTGCAAAGTACTTTCTAGAAGGGGGAAAAAAAAGCAGGGTTTGACTGCTTTGGGGGGACAATTGTGTAATTTCATTTTTAAAAAAAGAGGGTGCAATAATAAATTTGTGTAGTGCGAATATCATTTCCCCTAAAATAAAGGAAAACACCAAAGCACCTCTCGAAAGAATTCTTCTGTACCAAAAATTCAAAATACTCTGTCCATCCAAAAGGCATTTTCCTTTCTTGTATACAAAGATACAATAAAATTCCCAGTAAGAACAAACCAAATTTCTTGTGTCTAGTTTGTAGATTAAGTGCTTGCAGAAATTACAGATTTCATAGCCACTGGCACCTAATAAAACGTACAGCTGCCCATATAATTTGTTTGTCGCAAATTCCAACTGTACGGAGACATTTCTAGCATCAGATCCCATGTTTTCTTTAAAGAGAGATACAAATTAAAAAATTGTAGAATCCATTTTGCCCTGTGGCTTTGACTATCCTATATTATTGTAAACAAGAATGCATGATATCAGGACATGGATTTCATCTTTTATCTGATTAAATAAATCAATAGGAACTGCAATAAGAATTATCAATTACCTCCTTACTGACTGACGTTGAAGACCAGAATACTCCTTAATCTTGATTTGCAAATCGCCAAAAAATTTTAGCAAGGTACATAGTCTATGAGTTGACTCCACGGATGACGTGAACACAATGCTCTTTTCCCCTTGCAATGTTAGTAAAAGGGCTACCAAATACAGGGGCTTTTGATTTGATTCATAAAGCTGCACAAAAGATGGTGGCAAGAATGAATATTAAACATCAATGCATTAATTTCTCTGGGATGGATATCTGTTTTTGCGCTAAGGAGCATACATCAATCAGATAAAATCATCTAATGTCAAGTTAGCACATTGAGGATACAGCATAAACAAAAGGTGATAAATCTCCCTGTGGCGCAACCAGATAATCCTAAAACCCTAAAAAAGAGAGAAAGAAGGGAGAAGGAGCCAAAAAGGCGCATGTCAAAATCAACTCATCCATATGTCAACTTGTGCACTGATTTACCTTCATTCCAAAATTATAATTATTGGCATTGCAAGTAGATTGCAGAAGAAGACAACTAAATGATGCACACCCTTGTAGGAAATAACCTAGAACCATGAAAGTCTGAAGCCAACCCCTTGAGGATCAACGGTATTTCCTCTCTCTCTCTCTCTCACACACACACACTCTCTCTCTCTCACTCTCTCTCTCTCTCTGAGACACACACACACCCAAAAGTTAGCCTTGACATCCATCTAGCCTAATCTACCCAAGATTCTCAACATACCACATCTAATAGCCCCATAATCCTGACCATCACTTTGAACCTATGAAACTTAGTTTGTGGTAGGAAATGGAAAAAATAAATCAAAACCATGAAATAATGAAGTTCTTTAATGCCTTAAAGCGGAAATGGAATCTAAAAAATTATAAGTCCAAAGTAAACAAGACTTATGGACACCCATTTTGTCCCAATTGAGACTTACGTACTCAACTTCCATCCTCAAAGTTGAAGGAGATGCCACCAAAACTGATAGTAAATCCATGCCCTACAGATTAACGTACAAATCCATATTAATCATTCAGATGAATCTAAAGCAAAATGTTATTTTTGGCCAACAAAATTTTGAGATTTTTTCACACCAAATTCATGTTTTTAACTAGCTTTTAAGAATGCAAGTAATCTTGTCTCTCTTCAGACAAACTTTACAGTTTTTTTGTAATAAACATGGATGTTCCACTTCCAATGGATTTATGTAAGCATCAAAATTGGTACCAAAATAGGGATTCAAGATGTTGTCAAGTAAAAATAATATATCTTCTCATTTCATTTGGATCTCAACTTATACCAACATTTTTCATAATTTATTTTTTGATACTTATCAAAAAAAATAATAATCATAATTTAGTTTTTGAAGAATTCCTGCCTTTTTCAACTAACAACCTTCAAAAATTTACAATGTTCTCTACTATTTCAACATGATTAGAACCAAATAAAAGAGTGCTCTGAAACATGGCATAACTGACATTTCGACACCTAACACATTAATTTAATAAACCAAATATACACCGGCAGACATGAGTGAAATATTGTAAAAGGCAAAGTTGATAGAAGGAGACAATTGTCGGAGTTTGAAAGATAGCTTTTGGTGCAGCTGGTACCTCTGCCATTTCTTTGTTTCTCACATCCAATAAATGACTTACCCACATGAAAAATAATGACCATATTATCTCTCAGCCAAATCATGAATGCAATAAAGAGCACAACGTAACGACCAATAGAAATTGAAACAGATTAAAAGAGAAGTATTTTACATAGTTCGGCGTACTTAATAAAATGTATTCATGGTCATACCAACTTGAAGGATTGTAGTTGTTCAGGTAACTGATAACGCCTTTGCCCAGTTGTCAAGAATAAAGGGTGATGCAGCTCTAGCTGGGCAAGCTTGCTCGGATCTTGGGTTAGTGTGGCAGATAGAACCATCTTCACAAGTCTAGGGTGAGATTTACCCTTAAATCCTCTTTCAATGCCACTGTAATTATTTCAAGCTACTGTCAGACACAAGCTAGTGGCAATATAGGATATATATATATATATATCACTGAATTTTTCAAATGAAAGCTAATAGGGGAAGTTCAAGAGAAAGTAAATATCGACAAACTCAAAAAAGCCTACTACGTAAAAGGATGTGAAATTCTCCTCATCTAATCCAGTAATACAATTCAAAATGTATTCATTGGTCTCAAAGATCCCTTTCAGACATGGTAGAAAGTAAATCTTGACAAAAGCTTACTACATAAAAGGATGTGAAATTCTCCTCATCTAATCCGGTAATACAATTCAAAATGTATTCATTGGTCTCAAAGATCCCTTTCAGACATGGTTTAGCAGTGTCAGATTCAGCATCAGTGGGTTCCACTACAATTAGCATCAACCAAATGCCATGACACTCAAAAAGGAGAGAAAAAAATTAGAAAAAATAAAACAAATAATTTCCACAATACCTCCTTAAAATGAAACATAACAAATACTTAGCATGCTGTTCAAAATATATATTCTTACGCACAGCCGGCATTAAAAGCTTCTAAACACCTCTAATTTATGAGTCAAACGACAGTGCCAATACATAAAACATGGTGACACAGAAAGACTTGATACTTGACTGCAGTTTCATCCGCATGTACATCTATTGTATCCAGCGCATGAGAAAGCAATACATATCGATTATGACCAAAACTAGAAGCCATGCTTGTGGGAAACAAGCACCTAAAAATAACAATAATTATAACAATGGAAGGAAAAATGAACTCTGAACTCACAATCTCCTTATGGTTCTTAGGGAACCAAATGCAGAACTTAGAAAAGTATTATCATGAGGGAAGAGACATTCATCACTGGAGTGTGTCAGTTGAAGCACGGTAGGAAGCCAGGATTGATATGCCTCCCTGAGCAATCGATCTGTTTCGTCAACCACCTGATATATGTACCATGTCAGGAGAGTCTTTACAATAGAAGATCTAACTCAAAATCGATTATATCGACCCAAAAAAATAAAGTTATTTTTAAATTGTGCTGGTTCAACGATTCAATTGTCAATTTTGATGTTCTCATTTGATGAGCCAACAATTCCAAAGAACCAGCGATTAATGATGACTGTCTTATTTGGGCAACCAACAAAGACGATTTGTGGTAAATTCAGATGTACAGTTCATAACAACTGACACATTGACATAGTAAGTCGTAACTCTACCAAAATTACAAAAGCAAAACAGATAAACCGATCTAGAATAACTCTGCCTGGTTACACATAGTTATGATCATAACAATTACAAGAAAATGTTAAACGGTCATGACCAAAATCCTGTGTGGGTGACAAGCTCAGTTTAAAAGCTGAAATACATTCAGATCCCAAAACATTCCCTTAACCACTCAACATATTAACATATTCCAGGAATAATGTAACAAACAAAGGAGCTTCACATATTCTGAGATCATCCCCACAAACATGGCAAAATTTTCAGGAGTTTTAGCATCAAAATAATGGGAAAGAGGATTAAGGAACAAGTTACAAATATGTGAATAAAGGTGCAACTAAATGATCTTGAACATACAAGATAACAAAGATGCTCAAGTGTAAAACCCTTTGTGTTATTAATATGGTCCATCAGCCTTCCAGGTGTTGCCACGAGTATGTCCACTGAACTTTGTAGATCCAGTGAAAGATCTTCTGGGTCATAACAGATCCCCACCTCATGCTTCGGTCTCTTAATAAGCTCTGTTATCTCATCTGCAATTGAAGATTGACCAACTGACAAACCAACAGATAAGCCCACTGCAGGTGCAATAGCCTCAAAGACTTCCTTAACCTGTAACAATAAGAAGAAAAAATGATACAGATATCTTCCATGAAAGCATTAAGACAGCACTGGAAATAATGTTTCTTTAATGATAGTCATCTATGTTACATGGACTCGGGTACTGGTGTCAGACATGGGTATGTATCCATGCGTCGGACGTGTCAAATCTCCAAATAGAAGGACACACGGACACTACTAAATATTCATTTTATTAATTATTTTATTTTATTTTCTAGAGTAAAGTAATGTTTTTATCTAATATAATGTTCAATATAGGCATTTAACTCATTTTAAAGTAATAATATAATGTAATTGAATGATTGCATATGCTTTTTAAGTACATGTCCAACTAAAAGTGTCGGACACATATCTCATACCCATGTCGGAGGGATATGTGTCCGACACGGGTACTTCACTACTTTTGAAAAGTCCATGTAACAGAGATAGTCGTAACTCTTTTTGGTAAGTTCAATATTCATAACTTCTAAAGAAGGTTACTTGGCTATTTCTTTTTCATATGACAGGAGTAATGAGTCTAAAAGGTTCTATAGCACTTACTTGGAAACCTCATTCTTATTATTTGGGACGGATGGATAAGAGAGTAGAAGAATATAGAACAATAAGCCACAACCAAGAGGAGGAGTTGGATAACAAGAGTTGTGCTCTATAATTTTATCATATATTATTCAGAAGTGACAAGTTCATTTTCCCCATCCATACATATACTGTATCATCTATCACTTAATTAAACTTGATTACAACTTTCAACTACAACACAAAACATAAAGATGACAAACAAGAAAATATCAAATTAAACACAACTTACTAGACACAAAATACTAGACAACTATATAGGTAGTTAAACAAAAGTCTTCCATTTCACGCCAATTTCCAAGATAACTCTTGGTCTCCCAGTAAGCAAACTTGCCATCCACATAAGCTCGACATGGCTGCCATGTTGGCACTACATCTTTTATCGTCATTTTGGCGTCAGTTATGACTACATCTGAAACCGAAAAAAGAACTGCTATAAGCTATGGACATCAAGTCATACGTTTCACTCAAACTGATGTCATAAACACTTCATGATACATAGAGCTATTTCCAAAACTGTCAGATTATTGTCTCCTCAAAAACAATGACACCATGAAAAATGGACTTATAGTTGCCTTCAGCAAAATATAAACAGTTACCTTCAACTCAGGTTTTATCATCTAAAGTGACCAAGTTGATTATTAGGATTAAACTTCAGACATACTTGTTGTGTATAGTAATAGTCTCTATGATATTAGTACAACTTAAAGAACCTCAATTTTCCTGCATCAGAAGTAACTTTGCCTAAATGGTGCATTTGCCTCAACAACCAAAAGCTGAGAGAGAATATTCCAGTCAACCTAGAAACTGACAGGTTCAACGTCCTACGGACTTTGAAAACCAACTTGTAAATATTCAATAGAGAGGCACAACAATCTTTTCAAAAACATCAGCAACAGTAGTTACCATTGTCAAAATATATATATATTCCAGACCGTCTGACTTGTAAAAAAAAAATTCCAGACTGTCTGACTTGCATCATTTTAGAGATATAAGCGACCAAGTTACAACATATCATGAACCATTGTGGGTAGACAAACTGGAGATAGAAAAAGCATATTTAATGACAGTCAACTTTATTATGTAAAAAAGAGATGACAAAACACTTCTACCGCTGCTTACAACATTATAAACAAATCCATAGGATTTCAGCTCCTATGATTAGGTTGACAAAAAACAAATGTTACTCAACAGAACATTCAAAAACTAGAAACCTTCTTTTGATACATAGAACAAGGAAGAAGTGGGTGAAAATCAGAATGATCTCAACATGGCCACTATTTACTATGCCATCCCATTTGCCATTTGAGTATTTAGTTTAAAAAATGTTTTCAACTGAGGTAATTCCCATATATCTTCCCAAGTCCCCATACCTTCCTCTCCCTTTTCTAAAGCCACCAACCATCACCTGATTTTCATTAGTGGCATTATAGATCTTCTTTGACATGTTTCAACCATCTTAATCGACCCTCCTCGGCTCTTCTGGAGATGATTCATGTACTCCTCATCCATTTTGCACAGACAATGCCAATTTATCACAATCTACACCTCTGTGTATGGCAGGGTTTGTGGCGAGAGAGGAACAAGAGGTCCTTTGATGGTTTGGAAGCTCATTTGGGTGCTAAAGCATTCTATTTTGAGCTTTCTTTTTCATTCTTTTTTTCTTTTTTGGGCTAAAGGGCAGTCCTGTAAATCCTTGGAGGACTTTGTAGATTTTGTGGATAGCTTGCAAGTATAGAGAGTATATAGAGCCGTGTAGTTGTTCTTGGGGGTGGGGGGCCTCCCTTTTGAGGCTCTTTAACGATTTTTTTTTTTTTTATCAAATAAATAAATAAAAATTAGACAGCCCAAGATTTGCTGAGTGCGTACTCTCATTGTTTTATTGAACATATCATTTTCAATGTAAGCTTTGTATGTTTTTCTTCCTACAACCATGCCAACATCCTCATCACAGCGAGAATTGTCTTAGAAATTACCATATTCAATTATATACCCATCAACTGTCATGGGAGTGTGCCAGTCTCACATCACCTTGTAAACATGTTTCGCCTTTTACAATCTAATTATAATTATATATGCCTAGACACCGAACATAGAGAAAATAATATAATTTTAATCATCAACATGTTTTGATCCCATCATGTTGTTAATCCAAATTACTCAATGTGAATTCAAGTACAAGTGCAAATTAAATGAGAAGGATAACCTTAAGTGCATACCATCTATCCCCCCAACACCTCAAATTGATGAGACCACAATTAATGAAGATAATCCATTTCTATAATCTCACATTTATCAATCTTAACCACTATCCACCTCAAATTAGTGATTTACTAAAATAGCACCCAATATATCATAAACACAAAAATCCTTAGTTTTTGCATGTAAAGCTCACTCTTCTCAATCTCATCAAACAACATCAGGTCTTTTAGAGATATAACAACCACAATGACCCTCATCTTAAATTTGAACACACAATTTATTTGTAGATGCTACTAGAATTGGAAGATTTTCATAAATGACCAAGGGAATGGATTATTAACATTTTTCTCTCTGGTGTAAATTCTATTATTTGGTTCCAGGGCTAAATAAATTAAACAATCGACAAAAATTGATATACATAAATAGGTTTAAACTCATGTGTAGCTCAATCATGCAGTGCACTACATGAATTCATCCGACTCTAGCTTAGTCACTGAAAAAAAAAAAAAAGATTAAAAAAATAAAAGAAAAAATAGCATATTGCTAAATGATATGATATTTTAATAGTTAATGCATCATGAAGAAAAAAAAGAGAATTACTAGTAGAAGCAATATCCCCTGTATGTAGAAGTGTAGAACCACACACACAAGAAGTACTATAGAAGTTGGAAAATGGTACATAGAGGTGTGTGTATAACCTGCAAGGCTAAATCACGAGTAGGCAACACCACTAAAGCACGAAGACATTTCACTGCACGAGTTGACAGCATCTGCACTATTGGCAAAGCATATGCTAGAGTTTTCCCACTTCCTGTAGGTGAATTTATACAAAGGTCTCGCTCAAATGACCCAGGTCCAACCGTCTCTTGCCATACTGCAACTTGCACAGGGAAGAGTGAAGTAATGCCCATATTCTGCAAAGCCACCTCCAACCTAATGTAGAAAAAGTTAACGACTTGAAGTACAAAAAGCAAATAAGCAACATCGTTCCAAATAAGTATACTGTAAGATGTGAAGCCCATTGTACAATTCTCAATTTGGACTCGTAGTTAAAGTTTGACCTCATGCTCAAGAAAAATACATTTCCGCTTCCTTCAAGCTTGAGCGAAATAACTAAATGTAACACCATTCCATAATTATTAATTACATGAATCTGTTTACAGTTTTAACCCTCATAACCGGGGTAGCGATTTGTCCCGACCTGGTGAGTTTTTAGTTGCATGACCTCTTGGACCAAATTTTAACTGACCCAAACACCAGCAAAACAGAAGCCACTCAGTTTGTTTCACAGTTTATTGATGTGTTGCCTAGATGCAAATTTAAATAGGCCATACCATGACTAAAAGAACATTGATAAGCAGAGAAACGGGATATAGACAATATAAGATAAGGATTATAAGAACAAGTTCTAGCTTTTACTTTAAAAATTAATACAACGAGATAACATAAATTATATGATCAATATAATTGGTATTTATGCATCCCAACAAGGATTATCAATATAATTGGTGTTTATGCATCCCAAGAATGATTAGAAATATAATCAAGGCACAATTTTAGGAACAAATTGATAAATTATTCAAGGACTACCTGAAAGAAGATGATGTTTATTGGATGAGACATTTTTTCCTTCTTGTCAAGTAGACCATGGAGAATGTGAGAAGATATATAAGGGATATGATTAAGAAAAGAATGGTGGTGGGAGACCATCTTAGGTTTTGTTGCTAAAGATGATTTTTTTTTTTTTTCTATTAATTAGGAAAATATACGCACATACCCACAAATGCCCAATGTGGTGCTCGAACCCTCACTTCCTTTTGGGGAAGGAGAGGTTATACCACCTCAGACAATGGCCCGGTGGTTGCTAGGGATTATTTCACAAAAGCAAATACTTTCAAGGAAAAAAAAATTTTCTTTAGAAGTACAGATGATAAAATTCATTTTTCTCTTATCTAGGAGAATAAATCAATTAATCAGCAAAAATGCAAAGATTTAAAGGTTATATCAACAGAGAGCTCGACCTCACAAGTTCACCTTTTCTTTTTCTTTTTTTTTGGGGAGGGGGTGAGAAATGAGACTATAATACCCAATAATTAAGTTATGGTAATTGAAAGAAGAAAGACTAAAATTACTGAAATGTAAAATGTCAAAATTAAATTTGAAAAACGAAGGTGACGTGATGTAGAATATGTTGGACAAATGCACTAGAACAATGGTAAAAGAGGTTCTTGGAGAATCAAAAGATAAATGATGGTTAAAACAAAAATATAAATTACAAAAGTTAACAAGAGAACTAGAAATAAAAAATGCTTTGGTAAAACATAAATACGCAAAGAAAGATGTTTGAATTAGATGTTTACATTAGGCTAGGTACAAAGGGTTGGGAGAAAAAATATGTATGAAAACATCTAGTTTTAGTAGTATAAAGTATACAATGAGTATTTAACCGAAAAAAGGTATACAAAGAGTGAGGATCTAAGAATCTTGGTTAAAGTGACAAAATTAAAGAGTGGGGCTAGAGTTTCTTTGACAAATTATTAAATAACAATGATACAGTCAGGTTAGGATACCTTGGCACAGTGGTAAAATCTGATTTTCGAGCATAATAAGAATGTTGTGCAGGTAGCCACTTTGGGCACATGATGTCAAAAGTTAAGCCTATATCCATTTTGTACCTCCCAAACACTTTTAGAGGATTTTATGATGGCCGCATTGATATAAATGGAAGTAAATAGACACCCCAATTTGATACATTGACATACAGTTAAGAGGATTTTATGATGCGTATAAGTACCTGGGATCAAGAAAAGGAAGGAGATTGAGAGCACATTCCTCGCATACACTAACATCAACAGGACTTCTCATCCATGGCAATACCGGCACACTCTTTTTCCTTTTAAACTCTGATGCTTCCTCCATATTTCCTTCTTAGCCTGCATTTAGTGATTAGCAAGGTTGTTAAAATCGGTAGAATCATTTTGGGTTCCGTAGAATCAGATAGTAAAATGTACGATTCTACCAATTTGTTAAAAAAAAAATCAAAATACTTTTTTAAACAATATTGTTTGTAAAATATAGCAATAATAAGGCCAAAACACAAAAAATTGAGACATAAACAGAACAGAAAAGAACACAAAACAGAAATCCTCAAAATTATCATCACCAAGTAGTCACAGACCCGCGTATGGACTATGGAGTATGGACCAAGTAGTTAGTAATATGTTTATGATTCGAAACAAATCACAACACAACAATATAATATGCTTCTGAAATTTCAATTGATATGAAATTGAAAACGCCAAACATAAATTATTGCAAATCACATTATTTAACCTCCTCAGCCAAATCAGATTCAAAACTTTGTCAACATAATTCTCAAAACAATACACCCTAGAATATAAGCCACTTGATTAGAGGAGTGAGGATTGAGGACTTCGAACCTGTTGAATTTGATAAGGCTTGATGTGTTCGCAATCGACCGTTTCTGAGAATCTTTGTTCGCGACTGTCGAAGAGCAAGTTGAGCAACCAAGCTTCGATATTATACTTGTCGCCGCCAATCAGAAAATTTTCTTGAAGTGGCGGATGGGGGCCACCAGCTTTGCTTTGAGCTTATACTTGTCGCCGCGAATCAGAATCGACTGTCACGGTGGGGAGGTTACCGGTGTCTGATGAGTGAGATAACTCAGAATGTGGGGAGAGAACATGAGAAAGGATTGCGCGCAAAGGATAGTCAATTGACTCAATTAGGGCAAGCCAAACGATACGGTGTCGTTTGGATTGTCTTTTTGGCCTTTCCTTTTTCCCTCCTCTTTTTTTTCTTTCATAATCTTCGATTGGTATTGTGAAGAAAATTTTCACAATCCATATTAGAAAAATATCTTATGAAACCTATTTAATATTGTGTTTGTAAACACGAATCCGCTCTTTGATTTAAACTAATTTTTTTTAAATTCAAAATTTAAAGCGTTAATGTAGTGCTCTTAAACATATAGTACAAGATCATTTCTACACGTGAACACAAAGCATTGTAAAAGGCACTTCATAAATTAAAATGATACAAAATTTGTTTTTGATTTCAAAGGGTGGAGCCTTTTCATATAAAAAGAAAATAAAAAGACAATATTAAAATTTGTGGTTAAATACTTAATAAAATAATATACTTCTTAAAAAAACTTATGAGATAATGCAGGAGCTGAATCATATCATATTCCATAAATATGCATATTATGAATGTTTATGTTATATTTGGGAGTATCGAATTAGTACCTTGAATTTGGGTTTGAGGTAAATTTAATTTAAAATTTGTACTAAAATTTTTTCAATCTCAAATTCAAAACATCGATTCAATACTGTTAAGTATAATTTTATATAAAAAAAAATGTAACAATCATACATATCATCGCAACAATACATAATTGTTGCATGCCATGTAAAATTACTACATTGTTAATTAAAAGTTGTTAAAAAAAATCCTAAAAAACACTAGAGGATCCTTATTCTTAAGACTATGTATATCCAGATTCTTCATGCTGTGATAAAAAAATGAGATCAAACGATGTCAAAAATATATATGTGTGTGTATATATATATATTCAGTGACAAGTACTCAGTATTATTTATATTTATTTCTGTTTAATGTTTTTTAATGGGTTGAGTGCATCTTGTTACAAACAAATGAAGTTTAATGACAAGTGTTGGGCCATCCAAGAAACAGATATATTTCGAGAAGGTCGCAAAACTGAAGGGTCCAATTAAAAGGCAATCCAACGAGGAACCAGTAAGATGAACAACTAACCCTTCCAAAACTAGAGGTTGCAAAGGCAAACGATTGGGGAGGAGAGAGAAAGAGAGAGAAGCAGAGAGAGAGAGAGAAGACAGCTTTGTAGGAGGCAGCTGAGGAAGGAAGGGGTCCACTTTCTAGGATGGAAAAACCAGAATGAAACAGCTTTTCTCCTCCTTTCCTTTGAGAACCCTATTAGGTTCTTCATTCAGGTACACCATCTAATTTGTCCACCATTTTCAATCTGTAAAAACAATAGCACCAAAACTTTGATAAATAAAAAAAAAACCCATTTACACAACATAACAATCATAACAACCCATGAACAAGAAATGCGCACAATGTGGTAATTAAACAGCTTTTTGTTAGCTTATGCTCTCAATGTCCCTGTGTTACTCAATTTTACAAGTAATACATTGATGTTATATGATATCACTGTGTATTTGATTCAATACCATGGATGAAATTTATATGTAATCTTGACATTCTCATCCTAAGTTCTGCATTCAGGTACACCTTCTAATCATCCCCATTTCCAATTTTTAATACAATAACACCAAAACATGATACAAACCCTATATATATATACACAACATATATAACAACTGTTATCATAAAACCCCATGAACAAGAAATGTATATAATGTGGTGATTAAACTGTGTTTTGTTAGCTCATGAACCACAATGGTCCCTTTGTTTTTCAAATTTTGAAGTACTTATTGATGTTATATGGTATCACATTGTATTTGATTCAATGCCTGAATGAAATATATATGTAATTTTGACATTTTCATCTTCAGGGTTGTGAATTGTTGCGTCGAGCAGTTAGCGGAGAGGTGGAGTCTCCGTCTGTTTTTGACAAAAATATTGGTCGAAAGTTGATCGGAAAATGGCTTCAGCCCCTGCAACTGCTCCGCCAAATTCTTCGGCACCACCTACTCTATCACCGCCACCATCCTCCGGCGATTCATCTCCCCCTCCTTCAGCTCCATCCACCAACTCTTCCTCACCATCACCGCCTTCTAACTCCTCCAACTCCTCCTCCTCACCACCACCATCTTCGCCGCCACCATCCTCCCCGCCACCCGCTTCGCCACCACCATCCTCTTCACCTCCTCCGTCATCCTCACCCCCCAAAGTAACCCCTTCCCCACCACCCCAATCAGAAACCCCTCCCCAAGAATCTCCTCCCCCCAAGACATCCCCTTCACCACCACCACAAAACCCTTCGCCACCGCCAACATCCGGCAGTGCTTCTCCACCTCCTTCGGGCGATGTTTCTCCACCACCACCAGTAAAAAAACCCACTCCCCAAGCGCCCACTTTCTCTCCTCCACCTCCCACACCAGCTTCTTCACACACGCCACCATCATCCTCCGCCGTTACATTGTCACCTCCACCTCCACGTGCACCAGCAGCCCCAAAAACGTCAACCAATTCATCGAATGCATCTTCAGACTCAGGCAGCACGCCACCGCCGCCGTCATCGTCATCAACAACATCGTCGTCATCGTCGTCATCCTCAAATGCGTCAGTGATTGCAGGATTATCCATTGCGGGTGTACTAATTATTGCCATGATCATCATTTGTGTGACATGTTTAACGAGAAAGAGGAAGAGAAGGTCTTATATGGATCATGGTCGTGGACCTAGAGGTGATAATCTATACCTTCGCCTTTTATTGCAAATAATCTCATACATTCCAATTAAAAGAATATGATGTGTGTTTGTGTGTATGTAAGTATATATATGGTGTTGCAGATGTATATAATTCTTGGAAGTTTTTGTCATTTTTGCACTAATGCCCTGTTTTATTGCCTATGGCTCCATTTGGAACTCAGAAGCATCATCTTCCTTGGATTGTTTCGGTTGCAGTGGAATGGAAAAGAAGAGATGAAGGGAAAAGAAGAGTAATTTTGGTTACTCTGAGAAACCATATTTACCTTATAGTTATTAGAACTGCGAGGAAAGATGAAAAAAAAAAAACCTAAAGAAAATAATAATAATAATTTTTTATTTCATAAACATGAGAATGTGTTTATTTCCTTATCCACTACCTTATATTTTCTCACTGTTTCTGTGAAACAACAGAGCCTCTAACTTGTGGGGAGGGGAAAAATTACTAGAATTTACTACTACTAGCTTGTCATTTATGTCCTATTATAAGATTCTTAGTTTTAATTTCATTTCCCATGTTTCTTTAGGCCATCTTTGCTACTTCAGAAAATTCAGGAGGTAATCCACGAAACACTTTTTATCCTTGTCAGTCTAGTGTTTGTATTGGCATTGCCACTGAAGCTGTGCATATAATATGAATGTGAGCATCTTGCCGGTTTAGCCGCTGTAGCCAGTTTATAACTTATCCAAATTAATAATAATAATAATAATAAAGTAAAAAATGGAGAAGAATAATGGTCTTTTTCATTCAAATTTGATGGTAAGGTGATCTCCGTTTCGAAAGTACTGACTGTCCCTAAAAACATCAGAGAACTGGGATAATTAATCATCTGTAATCCTGGATTGTTTGGGATTTGAGAAGAAAATAAATTAACACATTTTGCTACAACACCCGGGAGCATCAACAATAATCTAAAGAATATTGTGGCTGCCATCAACATATGTCCGACTTTGTTCTTAATAGACCAATTTTTGCACAAAATAGTATTTGAATTTGTACTTTTTTTTTTAATGTTAAAATACTGAATAGAAATACAAAAAAATTGAGGCCACCTCGTTAGTTACTTGTGCATTTTATGGTTTATGCGTAGGTGATTATATGTACAACACAATGACGCAGCAGTGGAACAACAATCCCCAAAATGTAGATCATATTGTTAAGCTTTCTCCACAAGGACCACAACAAGGTTTAATGGCGATGCCTCCTTCACCAACTATGGGGCTTGGGATGAACCAGGGTACCTTCACGTATGAAGAGCTAGCTGCTGCTACGGGTGGATTTTCTCAGGGCAATCTTCTGGGTCAAGGTGGGTTTGGGTATGTACACAAAGGTGTGTTGCCTAATGGAACAGTGATTGCGGTTAAGAGTTTGAAGTCAGGTAGCGGGCAAGGAGAGCGGGAGTTCCAGGCTGAGGTTGATATCATTAGCCGTGTCCATCATCGCCACCTTGTATCGCTTGTTGGATATTGCATTGCAGATGGGCAGCGGATGTTGGCATACGAATTTGTTCCCAATCAAACTTTGGAATTTCACCTTCACGGTAAGCCTTTTCTGGTCTATGTTAATCAACATTTTTTGCTGTACTAAGCAGCTTCTTGGAGAAGTGGTTTCCATTTATAAAGCATACCTGTAATTGGAAATTTATGAACAACCATGCATTCGAGTAGAGGTTAGTGTTGCTCATTACCTAAATTGTCCAACCTTAACAAATCTTTTGGATGCAGGAAAGGGGCAGCCTGTTATGGACTGGGCAACCAGGCTCCGTATTGCATTGGGATCAGCCAAAGGGCTTGCTTACCTTCACGAAGACTGTATGCAATCATCTCTATCAATCTCTCTCTCTCTCTCTCTCTCTCTCTCTCTCTCTCTGTGTCTCTCACATTGTTGATTACATGCAGGTCACCCTCGGATTATTCATCGTGACATCAAGGCTGCTAATATTCTCCTTGACAATAACTATGAAGCCATGGTATATATATTTCAGAATATGTATAGGACCATCATGTTGTCATAATACATACATGATACTTATGTTGCCCAAGCTAATTAATTATTTGGTGATACTTTCTTTTCAGGTGGCCGATTTTGGATTGGCTAAACTTACTACCGACAATCTAACTCATGTCTCTACACGTGTCATGGGAACGTTTGGGTAAATTATACTATCCCTTTGGTTGTAATTGTGCTAGATCAGTTTCATCATCGAGTGAGATGAATCAAGCATTAAATAGTTGAAGTGCTACCTAAAGAAAGAATTATATACAGGTGTAACCGAGAGAAGTTAAAGGGGGCATCTCGTTGTTGGAAATATTCTTAATTCACAGATTGTCCTAGTGATGAATCAAGCGATTACATAGTTGGAGTTATACTTAAAGAAACAATTAGAAATATATTTAATTGAGTGAAGTTAAAGGGGGCATTTGGATGTTGAAAAATGATAGTACTTCACAGATTGTTTGAATGGTCAAAAATATTCTAGGACTATCTCTATGTTTAAGTTAATAATTTATGTATATAGGGACGTGTGTTTAGGTAAATGGAAAGTTATGATAGGAAGGATGTAGACAAGTCTATAGTCCTAATTTATAGATGATTGGTTTTGAAATGTAAGTGTCAACTGAAAGTAGTGGAAGATATTGTACAAGAGAGTTGCATTAATCTTCTACGTTTCACAAGCAGTATCTCCTTGCCTCTTTTATTCTAATATTACAGTAGTCACGAAGCCATAAAACACACTTGGATTTACATTTCCCCCCGCTATTCTTCAGGTGTGAACTCCAATAATGGAGTTCCTGAGTTGTTTTATAGATAGGGATTGAATCGCCATATTGCTTCTCAATGAACTTTCAAAATCCGTGTTCGAGTTTGATGCCTAAAGGTTCCAGCTGCTGCTTAGATTTTACTTTTTTAATACCATCTAAAGTTTGGAACACTTCTGTAAGATATTCTTTACAATTGTTGCTTATACGGAGAGACATCTATATTGTACATTAATGATGTAGTCGGTTCAACACACACATTGTCTATCAAAACAGAGACATTTCAATAAATTTTGCTGATTCGAAAATATTTTGCACATAAATGCAGGTACTTGGCACCAGAGTATGCATCAAGCGGCAAGCTCACAGAGAAATCTGATGTTTTCTCATACGGGGTGATGCTGTTAGAACTCATAACTGGACGGAAACCTGTGGATCCTACCAGTAAATTCATGGAAGACAGCTTAGTGGACTGGGTTAGTACTTCTAACTTGTTTACAACAAAGCAGATATCTATTGTGGTGAAGAATTTTGTTTCATTCAGTTTTCATGTTCGTTCACTTTTAATTTTATGTTGGCATGTGATGAACAGGCTAGGCCTCTCTTAACACGCGCGTTGGAAGATGGCAACTATGATGAGCTGGTGGATCCACGCTTAGAAAATAACTTCGTTACCCATGAGATGGCACGCATGGTTGGCTGTGCTTCTGCCTCCTGTCGTCATTCTGCCAGAAGGCGGCCGAAAATGAGCCAGGTATGGAGGCCTAAGTTGCACCACACACGCACTTGGTAATGCCTTTTTACAGTGTGTATTATAAGATTGTTTAGAATCCTATAAAAGAGGGATAAAATGTGGTTAGAACAATTTATTCTGATCTTGTTTGAAGATTATTTTTGTTCAACTGAATTCGTTTGCTTAAATCTTAATTAATGAAATGTCACAACAGATTGTTCATGCACTAGAAGGAGATTCAACACTGGAGGACTTAAATGAGGGTGTAAAACCAGGCCAGAGCTCCGCCTATACCTCAACCGAGGGCTCATATGATACAGGTGCATACAATGCTGACATGTTGAAGTTCAGAAAAATGGTAATGTCAAGCCAGGATTTCGAAAGCAGCGAATATGGAGCAACAAGCGAGTATGGCCTCAACCCATCCTCTTCAAGCAGCGATTCCAGAGAGATGTCGGGTCATTCAGCTCAGGGAACCACAAGAAAAAAACCAAGCGGCGGTGACTCCCGAGAGATGGCAGGTCATTCAGTTCAGGGAACCACAGGAAGAAAACTATAGAACAACCTAACTACAGAACCTCAGGCATGAGATGACTATCTAGCCAAAAGAAGAAAAATGAAAAGAAAAAAAAAATGACAAAAAGAAAAAAAGAAAAAAAAAAAAAAAAGGATGTCTAAACACAATCCTTTTGGTGATTACACATTATTAATTTATTCATTATTCTTGACATGGTTATATTTAGAAAAATTCATTCTGAGGAGAAATGAACAATCCGGTGCACTTGATGTGTCGCGTGCATGAAATTTCTACATTCTGTACATCAAGATAACCCGGGATTATCGTTGAATTGGATTGGATTACTCTCCTTCAATTCTATGGATCAGTATTAATACATACATTTACATAAACTGCTTGTGTAATATACTTCTAATTTGTGTAAAATATTAGGAATTGCTCTCTTTTGCTCTTTCAAAACAATGAACAGCTTTAAGATTTAAGTTTATTATTGGTTAGTTTCAAATTTTAAATAGCATATCTGCAAGAATGCAAGGAATTTAATTAGATCAGCAGTTTCTGCTGATTCTGTCATTGTCTATATTGTAAGATTTGTGTTATAGAAACTGAACATATTCTCTGTAGGTGCAAAACTATACCATTTCACTGCTTTATCATTATGTTTGCACCGCTTTTTCTCTTTACTTTGATGGGATTAATATAAATTTTGGATTTGTTTGGGTGTAAAATATTTTTCAGAATTTTTATTTTTATTTTCTGGTGTTTGGTTGTCATAAAATATATATGAAGAAAAAAATATATATTAAAATTTAACAAAAATAATTTACTTATCAATTTTCGGCAAATTATTTTACACGCCATATGGACTCAATCTCAACCTCGACCTATATTTTTGCCAAATATTAAAAAATAAAAAATATATTTTACTAGAAAAAAAATATATTTTTTCCAAAAAAACATATTATACGTAAACAAACGGAGTCTTAGTGTAATAGTGTATTCAAGTTTCTTCATCATTCACTAATTAATTTTGAAATAAGCATTATCACATGACATGTAAGACCGGAAAAAGAAAAATAAAATCAATTGGAACACATGGGAATCAATTACAACGAAATTGTAATGTGTGAGTTCAAATTCAGTACTTGTTTTTGCATGTTAAAATTAAAATTCTTCAGGTGAATCAAGGCTTGCATGAAAGCTCATTTTGAATCTTAATTTTTAATCTAGTTAAATAAAAACAGAAAGAGAAAGGAAAACATGATTGTGGAGGGAAAAAAAACACTCCCTCCAATAAAAAGTGCACACGTCACCACTACTCATATCTACATTCCAAAGGCCCATCATGCTCAAGCCCAAATTGAGGGTTTTTACAGCCCAAGACCATTGTTATTTGTCCTCCAACTTCCAGCAAGGCCGAATCAAGAAGTCATCAGCCCAGCTTATGAATATTTAACATCCGGTCTGTTACTCAAGCCCAGCCGGATCAAAATATATTCAGCCCAGTTATTCAAGAATGCACAAGTCCTACCAGTTGAAGGATTTACTGTAGAAAGAAAACTCTGAGATAGGAAGTTCTGTACAAGGCAAGTTCTATGTATGGAAAATTCGACAATGGAAAGAACTCTATTAGAAAAGAATGTTTATATAGAAAGAATTGGAGGGCAAGCAACGCGAGTCCTACCATAATTTTGCAATCTTTTGTATATAAATAAAGGCTAAGACCTCCAATAAAACGATCAAGCAATTCTACGCTTCTCGATATACTATTCTTATTTATTTTTATTGTTTTTTGAGTGAGTTGTTTTATTTTACTCAATCATTACTGGTTGAGCGAAATTTTGCACCTACACTTTGGCGCCGTCTGTGGGAAACGTATAAAAATATACTCCTACTTGTTCTTCAAATCAAATCCTTAGTCGTGTCTGGAATGTCAAACGGAGAGTCAGCAATGACTCAACAGATAGAATTGATGCAAAAGATGCGAGAAGAGTTCTTGCACCAATTTGAGACACTCCGGTAAGCAAACGATACGAGTGTCGCCCAGATAGCTGCGCTTCAGCAGCAGACTCATACGCTGCATACGGCCATGGCCAGGCTAACGCCACAACCGCCACCAGGCGATGCTGCAGCACCACCCCCCACCCGGAATTTACCTCCGGTTCACGAGCCTCCAGCCAACGAAACACCACCTAACGGGGCTCGACTTAATGAGGTTCAGCAAAAGCAAGGGACGAGGTCCGAGGCGGTTGCTTCGGATAATCTCCCGCATCGCACACAGGACGAACTGGCCGAGTCCAGCCATAGGCTTACGGTATGGTCCAATGGCGTTCCAGATGGCGCACGCGTACAAGATGCCTTCGACGAAAAGAAGCTCTTAAGAGTTCAGACACCAGCCGAGATGGCTAGAGAGCACAAAAACTCCTTGGTCAAGACCCCCTTTACTGACGAGGTGTACCTTGTGGAGAGACCAAAGAAGTTCACTATGCCATCCTTCACCTAGTTCGATGGGGCAGGAGACCCCTCTCGGCATCTCGATCATTATGCGCAAAAGATGGCACTGGATGATTATAACGATCCGTGGATGTGTAAGGTTTTTCCTACCAGTTTAACCGAAGCAGCGTTAGAATGGTTCAGGAATAGGCCACACAAGTCTATCCTTGATTATGAGACCTTGTGCATTATGTTTTTAGCCCAGTATTGCGGAAATAAGAAGCAGAAGAAAAGTATCGCCAGCCTTTTCACCATAAGGCAAAGGAAGGGAGAAACTCTGCAAGATTTTTTATCCAGGTTGAACATGGAGGCTTCGGAGATAGCAGATTACCACCCTGCCACGGCAATCAAAACATTTAAGTTCGCAATGATCCAGGGAACCAAGTTTCACACATCCTTGGTCAAGTATTCCCCCCCGGATATGCAGACTTTGAACGCTAGGGCACAAATCTACATTCGGTTGGAGGAAAACGTAGCCCACCGTGCACAGCACGTTACCCTCGTCACAGTGGAGAACAAGTCTCGAGAGAAAGCTGCGAGCACAAGGATGCAGAAGGTTCCTCATACCGCCACGCAAGTCACCCAAGCGTCTGAGAAGAGGCGAAGGACAGAGGACAGGCTTACCCCTCTCCGTACTACCTTAGCGCGCCTATTCCAAGAGAATAAGACGAGGTTCGCGACTCCTCAGCCCATGAAACAACCCTTGGAGCAGAGGGACAAAAGCAAACATTGTGCCTACCATAGAGACTATGGGCATACCACCAATGACTGCAGGTCCCTACAGCGACAGGTAGAAAGCATGATAGCGAGAGGAGAGTTGGTGGAGTATCTCGCCACGAAGGAGCACGTAAAACCTCGGGAGGTTAACCCTCGACGGGTAGAGGGCGGTCAGGTAAAGGTTATCCATGCTATACACGGAAGGTCGGAGGATGATGAAGAGTCTGAAGAGTTGTACAGATCCAGGCTGAGAGAGGCTCATAAGTTACGAAGATTGTCTTCGGTAAACACGGTTGCACCAGGCAGCATCAACATTGGATTCGGTAACAATGATCTTTCTAGAATCCAGCGCCCGCATGGGGACCCCTTGGTCATCAGCCTCCTGGTAGCGAATTATATGATCAGGAGAGTGCTGATAGATCCGGGAAGTAGTGCCAACATCACTACAAAAACAGCTTTTGATCAGTTGGGGGTTTCACCATCGTCCATCAGGCCAACTTCCAGCCCCCTAATGGGATTTGATGGTACTAAGGTGAATCCGCTTGGGGTGATCGATCTATCCATTACTGCAGCAAAGAGGACTCTGAAGGAAAACTTTGTCGTGACGGAGATTCATCCATCTTATAACCTCATTATGGGGAGAGGTTGGATCCATCGTATGAACGGAGTCCCCTCTACCCTTTATCAAGTAATGAGGTGTTTATCCCCAGATGGCAGGGAAGTCATCGACCTCTGGGGAGACCAGGTGGCTGCAAAAGAATGTTACATGCTAACGCTACATGAAGCAAAAAAGGCGTCGAAATCACCTCAGTTAGAGCCGAACCCCAAAGGCGCAATCAAATAGCAATTACAATATCCTCTGCCCAAGTATCTCAAGGCAGAGGAAGAAGCCGAGGCTGAAGCACCTACCGAGGAGTCCCTCGAAGCTATAGAGGTAGTCCTCGGAGACCCTCAGAAGGGTCACCTACATTGGCTCATCTTGCACAGCCGAAGAGAAGGAAGCAGTGATCAGGGTTATTCGGGGCAATTCAGATGTTTTAACCTGGGATCACTCGGACATGGTGGGGATCAATCCTATGGTCTCATGCCATAGTTTGAGGGTTAACCCAGAATTTAGGCCGGTCAAGCAGAGGCACCGACGGTTCGCACCTGAACGGAATCGCATAATAGCCGAGGAAGTAAATAAGCTATTACAAGCAGGATTCATTCGAGAGGTGCAGTACCCAGAGTGGCTCTCAAATGTAGTAGTCGTTCAAAAGAAGAACGGGAAATGGAGGGTATGCGTAGATTATACCAACCTTAACAAAGCTTGCCCAAAAGATAGCTTCCCTCTGCCCAAAATTGATCAAATGGTGGATGCCACGACAGGTTATGAGAGGCTCACATTCCTCGATGCATGCTCCGGCTACAATCAGATTCCCATGAATCCTGAAGATGAGGAGAAAACCGCTTTCATTACAGAGACAGGCACTTACTGCTACAGAGTGATGCCCTTCGGCCTAAAGAACGCCGGAGCCACCTACCAGCGACTTGTCAATAAAATTTTCAATAATCTGCTGGGGAACACAGTTGAAGCCTATATCGATGATATGGTGGTCAAGAGTATACGGAAAGAGGACCACCCGAAGCACCTCCAGGAGGTCTTTGATACTCTCAAAAGGTACAGTATGAAGCTGAATCCCACCAAGTGCTCTTTCGCCGTCTCATCAGGACAGTTCCTCTGGCACGTCGTAAATAAAAGAGGAATAGAAGTAAGCCCAGCTCAGGCAAAGGCACTCATACAGAACCAAGAGCCAAAAACCCGCAAGGAAGTGCAAGTTCTAACCGGTCGAATTGCGGCTCTCAGCCGGTTCATATCCCGATTATCTGATAATTATAAACCTTTCTTTGATGCTATTCGATCCAAAAACAAAGATATGTGGGGACCTCAGCAGCAGGAAGCTCTCAATCAATTGAAAAGCTATATGACGAAACCTCCGATCCTTTCTGCTCCAACGCCCGGAGACACTCTCATCCTGTACTTAGCAGTATCAGCTGTAGCAACGAGCGCAGTGTTGATCAAAGAAGGAGGCAAGCTTCAGCACCCAATCTTTTACACAAGCAAAATGATGACGGATGCCGAGACACGATACAGCAAGACGGAAAAGGTAATCCTGGCGTTAATTTATGCCAAGAGGAAACTTCGACATTACTTCGAGTCTCACAGCATAGTGGTACTCACAAATCACCCTATACGAGCTATCCTAGCTAAACCAGACCTGTCTGGTCGAATTACAAAATGGGCTATTGAACTTAGCTCTTTTGACATCACCTATGCACCGAAGGTATCTCACAAGGGGCAATCAGTAGCGGATTTCCTACTAGAGTACGATGATCAACCTGAGGAACCAACACTTCAAGAGCCATACTGGGAGTTACGGGTTGATGGCTCTTCCAACCGGAAAAGGGCAGGGGCCGGGATTGACATCACAACACCCGAGGGTACCAAGCTGCAGCAGTCAATT